CATTCTTCTTCTTGGATTGTGCAAAACACGTCGAGTTGTAGATGCCATTCAAGTGCTCACGGAAATGGTTGAAAAGGGATGTCGCCCGAACGAAACCACCTACATTTTATTGATTGAAGGAATTGGTTTTGCAGGATGGCGAGCTGAAGCTATGGAGCTTGCCAACTCTGTTTTTAGTTTAAGGGCTATTTCTGAAGATTCGTTCAAACGTTTGAATAGAACCTTTCCTATGCTTGATGTTTACAAAGAGCTTACCCTGTCTGAGATTAAGAACTAGCTTTTGGTATATACTTCAGTGCATTTTCAGTCTCTCATGGACTTTTCTGAATGTGTTCTTGCTAATGATATTTACAACAGAGGAAACTAGTTTTGCATGGTGCCCTGAAATCATTCCATGTTAACTGAGAGTAGATCCTGAATATGCAAAGGGTTCAGATTACAAGTGCGGCATCCTTATAAAGGAAAAAGAATGAGTTGTAACAGGTAATTCAGCGATGGACTACAAATGAAACAAACATATGCAGCTGGATTAAAAGACCATTTTAGGTTCCGGACGAAGTTTGAGGTTGTGTCCCCTCAACAATGAGCAAATTGCCTTGCAGGGCAGATTTGCCAATACCTGGAGGGTTTGATCTTTTGCTTTGCAACACAACACAGAAGAGCATAGCAAACTTTAGTTTGTTTTTTAAGCTTTTTCTATTTTATTTACTAATGCAAACATTTGCTCTAGAGACATGTTTTTCTCCTTTTATAGTATCTAGTTTGTTTTTCCTTCCTAACATTCACTGGAAGTTTTAGGGGCCTGTCTTGTTAACCAAAAAATGAAAACAAGAGGACCCTAAAATATAAGAGAGAGAGAGAGATACAGTTTCCCCCTCTTTTATCTCTGGGAGCAAATCTTGAATGGCTAAAGAAACAGTTGTAATTCCATCACTGTCATGACATTTAGCAGCGCCTAACATCTAGCTATTAACAAAGATATCATAATAAGCTCTGGAACCACGAGAAGCAACGGATCAAATGGCAAACAACAAACAGATAATTCACTTTCTGCAAGGAAGAGTGTCTAAATTTTAAATATCTCCTATCTTGCCAAAATAGGAACAGCACCAAGTCCACGTAAAATAAACTTTTTAACCATAGCATTTAGCATACCCATGTAAATTAGTTCAATTTGAAAAACTCATGTTTTTAGTTGATGTAGATAAAGGCAGACCTTTCCCTCCAGAACTTCCAGCAAGAAAAAGACATAAGATATTGACTATTCATAAGAGTCGACAGATGAGATTCAGAGACAGAAACCCATGATAGAAATTATCAAACAGAATTAATTTCTGGTAAAACATTATAAGAGAACCACCTTATGAAATTGCAGATTTTATACAACTTCAACAAAGAAATGGCAGTCTAGATGCCCACAAGAAGAAACAAAGTGAGTCAAAATTTTGCATAAACCCTATCTATTTTAACACATGACCTCTTCACTTAAAACGTTCCATTCGATCAGCTTCTGATGCAACTCATCAGCCTCTTTTGTCATACCAGCAGCAGCTACACCTTCAGTTATAGTTGAATAAATTGCCCCATCTGGCATGCATCGATTTGATATCATCATTTCTAGAACTTGTATTGCAACATCAACTCTCTTGTTTCTACATAATCCATGGATCACAAATTTGTAAGAAATATTACGGACCGGATGGCCTCTCTTATGCATCTCCTTCAATATCAGAACAGCTTCCTCAACTAGATTCACCCCGCAAAACCCACCAACCAAAGAACGATGGGTAATTTCATCAGGAATGATTCCATTTTCTACCATTTGACCATACAATCCCATTGCTTTCTCCATACAACCCTGTTTAGCCAATCCATCAATCACAGTATTGTAAGTGATCAAACCAGGTGATCGACTGGTGCCACATAAAAGATGAAGTAATTCGAGGCCCTGATCAATCATTCCCTCCCTACAAAGAGCTCCCAGGAGTGTGTTATAAGTTATAATGTCAGGCGAACAATTTTGAGAAATCATTTGAGTAAAGAAGTTGATGGCACGATCTAAAAGCCCAAATTTACATAAACCATTGATCAAAATATTGTAAGTAACAACTGTAGGGGATTCGGAAGTTTCATTCATTATTGTGAAGATTTCATCAACTTCATCCCAGCACCCACGGCTACAAAGAGAATGGAGAATAGTGTTGTAAGTGATAGCATTTGGCTTCAACCCATGACATAGAAGATTATGTATAATCAAAGCAGTATCTTCAAGCTTATTGTGCCTGCAAGTAAAATTAATCAGAGAATTGTAGGTGATAATATCAGGATAACATCCCTCTGCCACCATATCATCCAAAACTTCCACAGCCCGCATGGTTCCACAGTGTTTGCAGACTAACTCAATGAGAACTGTATAGGTGACTATATAAGGAGGGCATCCCTTTCTCAGTTGGTCCTTCCAAAAGGCAATTGCCTGATCAAAATTCCCAAAAGTAAACATGCAGCGAATAATTGCATTGTAAGTAATCACATCCGGAGGGCAACCAGTCAAGCTCATGTCTTCCACGAGATCAATTGCAGACCTTAGCTGTCCTCTCTTACAGAGACCTCCAACCATCATGTTACAAGTTATAATATCTGGAACCCCCCCAGACATGATCATGATCTTCAGAATTTTCGCAGCTTTATCTAATCGATCTATTTTGACAAGGCCCCGGATTAAGTTTGTGCAAGAAGGGAAGTATGGAATTTGGTTTTGACGTGCCATGACCTCAATTAACCTTGATGCATCGATTAACCTCCCACGGCTGCAAAATTTTCGAAGAATATCATTATTGGTTTCCTCAGAATTTCCAACAAAGCGCCCTTCTACATTCAATATAAAAGAAGTACGAGTCTTCTTTTTATTTATTTCCTCTCCAGATTTTTTCTCAATACCCATCTCATCATTATCAATGCTCCATTCATCTACGTTAACCTCATCGACTCTATCAATACAAACACTTCTTTGGAAACCCTTACGCTGTAAGACACGCACATTTCTTATGGAACTAACATCTCCTTTCCACTGTAAACAATATTGAGCTTCATGATTATACTTGTTCAAAAACTTTGATATTGCGAAAGGTCCAATGCCAGAACAAGGGCTAACTTGCTTTGTACACCCATGCAAAGAACAAACATCAACTGTAAAATTATGTTGGGTGACAGTATACCCCATCATCTCCTTCCGCTAGAACAAATGAAGTCAAACAAGATAAAAAGACCAATAGGAAGTATATCTTGTAATCCAACTTTCGCTCTTCTCTAAATCCAAAGAATTGAGATTCTCACAAAATGGGGAATGCCCAAAGTTTATTAACTTTTAATAGACTCCGAAATAAGCAAAACAATTACCCCGCTTTCTTGACTCTTCTGCTTCAGATTGAGAACTACAACTGTGAAAAGGTTCAAACCAATAATATCAGTAACAGCAAATTTCAAACATGAAAAGGAGGCAAAGAAATTAACCAAACACAATGACAAAAAACCATCTTTCAGCTCACCAAAGAGAAAAAGCGAAAGAAGATTTTGTTTTCGCTCCTATTACTATATAAAACAAGTTCAAAGTCTCAACCGACCACGTGCCCAGCCAGCCAGCTACTGTGAACTCAGCTGTGAATTCATTATATAATTCTATAAAAAAAATTCCATTATTTTCCAAAATTCAAACAGCCAATATCTTCTTTTCAATAATTTCAACAATCCATTTATGCCATTTTCACATAATCAGAGTTCAGAACCATTTGAACTTCAGCTTTTACCGTTTCATCACACTGCAGCACATACAAGACCAAATAAAAGTATACATACACATATAGATAGATAAAGGAGCGTACTGTGAGGTTTGGATTTAGGTCTGTCTGTCCTTCCGTGAGTAGTGAGAGGAGAAAGAAAGCCCTGTTTTTTTTTCTTTCCGTTTTTCGCTAATGAAAAGAGCGCTCTGTTGAGTTGCTGTTGCTGATAAAATCGAAAAGACGGACGTTAATAACTAGGGACTAGGGTTGTCAAATTGCAATCAGAGGTCAATGAATTACATTAAACTCCACTGAAGTTAATAAAATTAGACATTCCTCCCACAGAAACAAATAAATTACCATGTCAGGCCCAAACGAATTGAACAATTTCAAAAAAGCCATTAACTTAAAAAATGGAGAAAAACCCTGTGAAAAATCACATTATTTAGTTTACACCCTCTGTCTCTCTCTCTTCTCGCGTTTACTCACTCTCTGAATCAAGTCCTCTTGTAAACAAAACTCATTCTCTGTCTGTCTCTCTCTCTTCCTCTTCTGGTGATGTAATCTTTTCCTCTTTAGGTACTAATCACCATGATTAATTCATAATCTCATTTCCCAATATGGGTATAGGCTATTGCACACTCCTCAAAATTTGTGATGTTGTACTGAACTGAATTAATATGGCAGTAGTCAAATTAGATATCTTGCCTGCACGTAGTTCGATGCAACTCATCACTCCCCATTTCTTAGATTTTTCTTTTTTTTTTCTTCTTAAAATGAATGTATGTAAATTTTTTTCTGAAGAAATGAGTTTTGTGGATGCAGAGATTAGGCAGCGAGCTGATAAGAGAGGTAGGCAAATGCAACCTTGAAATCAGGGCTGACAAACGCATTGCAGTGTCTAAAATCAGCTTTCATCCACTCTTGATCGGAAGAAGTATCAAGTATTCAGGAAAAATCTTAACAGCGTCTCATTGATGTTCCGGGGTTCTTGCAGGCTATGTGACATATCAGATCATATGTACTCCTACACTACATTTGTAAATATGACGGAAGGGGGGAAAAGGGATATTCTGTTTACCCTTTTTGTTAAGTCATACATTTTATGTATGCCATTTTCTAGTTAAGAAAACTATGCATTGTAAGGTTAGTTAATAAATCGGATATTCCATTGTTGACTCACATCACATCCAGACGGGACCACGACCCGATGCAAACTCAAAATCAAAAGATAATAAGGTGTCACTTTTTATAAATTCCTTTATTGTTCGTTCCTCAAAATTATCATCATTAAACTTCTTCACATATCCCTACATTAACTTAATTCACACCAAGAGTCGAGTTGGAATTGAGAAATAAAGAACATATTCACCATGTCTTCTACAAATCTCTGGCTCACTTGTGCAAAATACTCTTCTTCGAAAGCTTTGGTTTCTTCTGACTGTAGTTCTACCACAAAACCATAGAACGGAACAGATACACAAAAGGTAAGTACAGATTAAAGTATGGCAAGCGGGAAATTTGAAACTGCATGACACAAGTGGAAATGATACCTTTTGTCTATCTAGTGCGTCATAATCTATCCTCTCCCTCCAGTTACTTTTGCGAAGTTTGATTGGCCGATTTCCCACATATTTACCTGGAATTTGTGCCAATTATATTATGACAGTTATCATATAAATCAAAGTCAAACCATATCAACAACACTCAATATGATTACAACCTTCTTCCCTACACAAAATCAGCAATTTAAATACCCAAACGAGAACATAAACAGAAATGGTACACCATATTATTCTTACCATTCATTTCCTTGAGAGCTCCAGCTAGGTCAGAAGGGTTAGCAAAGCTAACAAATCCAAAGCCCTTGGTTTTGCCAGTCCTCTTATCTCTAACGACCTAGATATGGTGATAAAGTAGACATATACAAGTTCTTAGTTTTCAATCACAGTAAAAAATCATAAATTCTATGAGAAAAAGTAGATGAATCAAAAGTAGCTAGAAACTGCACAATGAGCAAAAGATTATAACTGCGATCCAGGGAGTCAACATAAATATCGCACACAATGACAACAACAAGCAAAGCATAAGATACACAAGACTAAAGAAAAAAAAAAACAAAGTATAATTTCAATTTCGTACCATGCTCTAGCTTGGATACCCAATGGCCCAACTCCCATATTCCTCTACACCCCCCTTGCCCCACCACTCTGGCTCTCTCAACTGGAAACAAGCCTTGATGCAGCAATTTCGTACCATGCTCTAGCTTGGATACCCAATGGCCCAACTCCCATATTCCTCTACACCCCCCTTGCCCCACCACTCTGGCTCTCTCAACTGGAAACAAGCCTTGATGCAGCAACGGAAAGACTTTAGATGTGTTTCAAATTTTAATTTTAGTTCCAAGACATCCGATATAGTTTTTTAGGGCCATAATGCAAAATTGAATGGAGCCAACTCTTGTATGATTTTGAAGGTTGAGTGGCAAGGAAATCCAGTGTTAAATGGTTCTAAACTAACAGTTGTTAATTATTTTTAAGTTAATGGACAAAAGCAAAATTTCGAATTTCTTACACAGAATTTCACTGACCAACAAAAGTAATTATAGAGTACTGTTTTCCCGAGCACAAAAGAAAGGCTACAGACCCACCCCTAAGGTTTATAAAAATATTGAGAAAAAGAACCCGCTTGGAAGCTCAATCGGTTCACTAACCTGACTCCAAACTTGTTCAAATCGACCCAACAAGCAATAACTCAAGCTAGCCCATGAGAGTCAGGTCAAATTCAACCAAATCAAGCTCCAAATGTTGATTCCAGCAGTCCAACCTATATTAAATGGTCAAACCTGATTTAAACTAACTTTGAGATCTCACAATTAGACAGCAAGCACTTGAAAATCACATAATTTCATGTCGGTTGTCAGTACACCTCTTACGGTTAAATGTTAGAAGTCATGAACTCAGAGAAATGCAAAAATGCATTATGAAAACTATTCACAAGGTCACACATATCTAACTAAAATGTAAACAGTAGATGAAACCTACCTTAGAATAAATAAAACATTAAGTGCTCTGTTCTCTTGAAATATAAATCTGAAGAGGAAATGTAAAATGTTTACACCAAGCAAACAATTTCAATCAAGAGAATAACTTCAAAGGAAGAAAGAGAAAAGGTATCTGAGGAAGATACTTACTCTGGCCATGTTAAAGGAAGGAAATCGTGAAAATGCTTTTGAAAGGACATCATCATTCACCTCATTACCAAGATCACCACAAAATAGGCGATAATCATCTGTCAAAGCCAAAACCCAACAGAATTGTAAGGCATAAAGATGCACCAAACAGAAGACGGATTGTGTAAAATCAACACGCTAATGTTGCAAATGAACAACATGTTAAAACACCCAAAAAAACTATCATGAAAACCAAACCCCATGAAGAGTGAGGCTTTTAACAAGGTATCACATATCTGTTCTATCAGTTGACTAAGTAGCCAGAAGGGCAACATTCAAAACTGGCATTGTAGGAATAAACAGATAAAATTGAAAAGGGATGCAATCATGGTATTGAATGTTAATGTTTGTGTGTGCACGAATATATGTGGAAGAATATACAACTAATTTGATAAGGGAAAGTTTAATTGTGAAAGCATGCATACTTTCTGGCCATTCTGCAAGAGTTGGGTCCTCCCAAGACTGCCCAGCAGCTTTACGAGGGATGGCTTTCTTCTTAGCTTCAGCTTTGTGCTCGATTTCACTGTTTGCCAGGGCAGCCTTCACACTCTCAAGAGCTTCAGGTGTAATCGTCTGTGCATCCCTTTGAAATAACTGCTGAGCCTGTTCATTTCACAACAAATTATACACATGAAACCTACACGTCCAAACAATTTCCCCTAAAATAGCAAGAATTGATAAGTAGCTTCTAATAACTAAACCGAAAACCTCCAAAACAAGAATTCCAAAATTAATAGTTCTTTAAAAGCAAAAAAGAAAATATGCAAGTTACAGAAATATCCTATTTTTGACGAAAGAATAAAACAATGAAAGAAATCCCATTCTACTTATTCTCAATTATTCAGGAAATCAGACACTAGTTAATAAACCTAAACATATGCATATATGCATCCAAGAGTACATGCATGTAAAGACATGTGCGTGATGAGGATTTGAGACAGACCTGTTGATACTGCTGAGGGAGAGAGTAGACACCAGAGGTCGGGGTCGGGGCCGGGGCCGGGGCCGGGGCTGGGTAGACGGGCGGGGCTGGTGGCGCTGCGGGGGCGTAAGGCGTGGGATACTGGGGTTGCTGGAGGTGAAAGGGCATAGGGAAGTAGGACGATGACGACGAAGCGTTCGCGTATGTGAATTGAGAGGAAGTCGATGCAGGAGCTGTGGAAGAAGACGGTGGGGTCGCCATGGCCGATATCGGAACTAAGCTGAAGCTAGGGTTTTGAATGGGCAGGAATCGGGGACAATCGGGATCGTATTGCTATTTCTTTCGTTTTCTATAAATTACCGTTAATTATTTGATGCCACAATCGAAAAGCTAATTGGGCCCATTCAAATACGACCGAAGACCTATCCCAAACAAAAAGAGTGCTCATACAACAAATCAGTAAGAAGCCCAAATCTAAGAACAAAACAGAAGGCCCAAACAACCAAAACAACAACAACATTAAGGATTATGAGAGAGAGAGAGAGAGAGAGAGAGAGAGAGAGAGAGGGGATTATATTTTCAGCAAAAAACTATACACATACAACAATTACAATAGAGCTTACTTGTGCAGTATATATATTCAACTTCTCTCAATATCGTTTGTATCAAAATTTTAAAAAAGAATTAAAATTAAAATCCGTAAAAGTAATGAGGGTGGATGAAATTTTAGAATTCAAATATTTGTTCCCTTGTACCAAACGAAACAAAAAGTTTATAGATATAATTTTACCCCAAATTCATCCCTTTATTCCTATCACAGTTGAAAGCAATTTGATTCCTACTTAATTTATAATTGCAGCAAGGTCACCCAAGTTGGTTCACATGTGACAAATGCACTTAATTTTTACGTGTTTTTCATTTTCATTTTGTGATATTTATATATACACTGCAGTAATCTCTGTAAGTGATGATGAATAGACAGCGGGCTTGACTGGGTGAGGAAGTCATTGGAGTGGCCAGCCAATAATCAATCACCAATGGATGGACGGCAAATGCTTGTATTGTATGTGTCGTAAACAGAAAGAAACAATTTTATTTATTCTCTAGACTCTTACCCAAAACAATATCAAAAGTTTTATTTTTATTTTTTGTTATTACCTTTTGGCTACCATCATGGGCAATGTCTTTTGTCTTACTCTAAACTATATATAAAAGTCATATGTCTTGCAAAGTTTAATAAACTACTTATCCTATTTAATTCAAAGGTTTGAAATTTAACTATCCATAAGTGATTTACTTAATTCTACTTAAAGTCTTTGAAGGCTCTCTCTTCCACAAAGCTAGGGTAGGAAGACATGATTGTGAAATATTGGAAGGGATTCAAATTTGAAATCCCTTCACCATTGTTGATGGGAAAAACGCTAATACTAGGCACATATCAGGTTATTACTGATACTAAGAGGCCTCGTTTGGTTCAATTGAATTGAATTAAATGTCCAATCTGGTCCATCAAAGAAGGAATAGAGCCTCTTAGAGTAAAAACAAAAAACAAAAAACCCTTACTTATACTATATTGTATCTCCCGTTTTTTGTATTCACATAATAAGTCACATGAAAGGAGACATGTATAAAAAAAAAGTATATATGATACCCATTACATGCAAGTTCTTTCTTTCTACTTAGACCTGTAATCACTATAACATTTACATTCCTTCCGAGAAACAACTTGTTATTTCCAAGTCCGCCCATCGAATTTGTTATTTTGATAAAAACCTCGCATGTTTTCAACACGCAATTCCAAAGCAACCGACCAACCAAACTCAACTCAGGTAAGAAGAGTAAGACCTCCAAAATCTCATCAATTTCTCGCGGAAAAGAAAATAAAACAAATAAAAAAGAAGAGTGCCCACTTTTTTATACTAACTAGTTAATCAAAACCGTATTTATCCAAAATTCATCAACAATATCACAAAATTTCACTTCCCAAAAAAACAAAAATTGTTTTGCAAAAACAAAATTTACAATCCAAGCTTTTGTCTCCCTTGATATTTTTTAGAATCCCAAACAGGCCAAAACAGCAGACATTATTATCCCAACTGTTATTATATCATCTGTTAGTCAGCTTTAATAAAAAGGTATTGATTTTGTACCAAGCAAATACATTAAACGCAACTGGATCAATTGTTACAAGTTTTATGTACGTTTTTTCTCACCTTTTGTTTGAAGCTTAGGGTTAGGGTTCCCTACAACTTTGGAAATTTAGCCCCAATTCGATTCTCCAAATTACACATATTCAAAGTTTCAATAATTTTTTTTTCCAGATTTACCCTTACCCACAGTTCTGGATTTTGCATATATCTCAGATGATTTTCAAGGTGGTTTGAAAGGTTGGCCTTGTTTGTCATTTACGCGTTTGTGGGTACCCATCTCTGACCAATTCTTCTGTAGCAAAATTGTTTATGTTTCTGTGCCTTTTCTGTGTCCGGTCGTCTTGGTTAGAATTAGGGTTAGGGTTTAGATCTGTTCAATCAGATTCACAGGTGTTTCGTTTTTTTTGGGATTTGAAATTGTGGTTTAGTTCTTTTTTTTTTTCGTTAATTTTTGGAATCAATTTGATTGAATTGATTTGGTTTCTTCAAAATCTGGGTGTAGGGAATGAAGTTTAGCTGGATTTAGTTCAGTGGAAATTTCAGACTCTTGGATCAACACGATGTAAGCCCTAATTTCATTGAAATTAAATTAAATTCGTCTGATTTGACTTTTGGAGCAATCTTATCCCTCTCTGTAAATTTGCCTGATGCTACATAAAAATGCTTTGTGTTTTTCGTCACTGTTTTGATATATTAGTATATTTTAATTCAGTTAAAAGAATTTCAATTAGTTTTTGAAATGTAATGAGCTTATCAGTATGTTTGTTCGTGACATAATTTTTGTATGCATTCATGAACCTCTTTGTGTATTGTGAATGAATGATTTGTGATTATGGTATGAGATCTTGAGGATGTAGGATCATATATGTCGTTAGAGAGCTAGAATGATGAAAATAAATGGCTGAATGAAAAATGAAAAATAATATAATGGAGCTGCTAAATCTTATATTCAGCTGCAAGATCATTTTGACTGCTAAGATATGATCTTACAGCGTCAATTTTTATTTTTTTTTTTGGGATTTTGCAGACAAAACTTTTATTTTGCTACTAAGATACCTGGAGTATTTGAATTGCTTCTCCAAATTGAGCTGTCTGGCAGTGAGATACAAACAGCAGCTTTCATAATATTGAAGTTCATAAAGCAGAAGATAAGGGATCATCCTACTTCTGTTCTACATTAGATTGAATCTTTCCACGTATACAAGCAGTTTGGAGACTTCTATCAATCAAAATATTCACGATAGTATGGGGACAGAACTCATGAGAGTTTGCATAAAAGAAGATAACGATGAGTTTCCTTCAGTTCCACCCGGATTTGAGTCATTCACATCTTTCAGCTTAAAAAGGGTAAATGAAAGTGAGAAACAAGATAGTGAAAACAGAATTAGTTGCTCAGAGACTGTTGGTGCTTCTGAATCACAGTCAGTTCAGATGGAGACTAACATTGCCACTGATGAGGTTGCAAAGAGGTCTCTCCGACGCAGACCATGGATAAACCATCGGCAACATGATAACAAGCCAGAGGATGAGTTTAACTCTGAGCTACTAGAACAAGTAGTGTTTCAGTGCTCCTCTGAGTTCTTGGTTTTTAATAATTTCATATGCCATTTCTCTGTGAAATCTCCTATACTTGTACATGTTGTCTCATATACAATTGTTCTTGCAGAATTTTGCTCTAAATTCTCTTCTTCCCAAGGGGGTTATACGCGGATGTCCACAGTGTAGTAATTGCCAAAAGGTTACTCTTCAAAATTCACGCACTTTATTCACACCCTTCTATTTACTCTGGTTTGGTTCCAGTGTAATCCTTTATCATAATTATATTCTTCACACCTTACCCTCATGAATTGAGAAACCGTTTGGGCTTTTGAATTTTTCACATACATCTACAAAGTTATAGAATTGATTATTGAATCCTGGAACAGGTTTCTGCAAGATGGCATCCGGAGGATGGTCAAAGGCCCGACCTTCAGGATGCTCCTGTCTTCAAACCAACCGAAGAGGTGCATCTTGTTACTAGTGGGATTTAATTTGTTACAGTTTCCAAGTTTGTTGACCTATTCTTACTCATGTTACTTGTTAACTAATTTCAGGAGTTCAATGATACATTGAACTATATAGCGAGCATACGTGCAAAAGCTGAACCATATGGTATTTGTCGCATTGTTCCTCCCTCTTCTTGGAGACCTCCCTGTCCTCTCAAGGAAAAGGATGTTTGGGAGACCTCTAAATTTGCTACTCGAGTCCAGAGAGTTGACAAACTGCAGAATCGAGATTCAATGAGAAAGATTCCGAAAAACCATAATCATATGAGGAAGAAAAGGAGAAGATGCACACGAATGGGGGCTGATTGTCCAAGTGGTGGCAGAGGGTCTGGGGATGATGGATATTGTGAGGCTGAAAGGTTTGGGTTTGAACCTGGTCCAGAGTTGACTCTAGAAACATTTGAAAGATACGCTGATGACTTCAAGACCCAATACTTCAGCAAGAATGAACACATTACTGATATAGGAGGTAACTTGTCTAAACTTAAAGAGGGCTGGGAGCCATCTGTGGAAAATATTGAGGGTGAATATTGGCGGATGGTAGAGAGACCTACTGAAGAAATTGAGGTACGACTCAAGAAATTTATACAAATACCAGCTTTTGTAGCTTTAAAATAATTTGTCCCCTCCCACCCGGGGCTCGGTTACATATGTGCTCTTGCACACGTGCAAATGATTGCTTGGTGTGAGGGTGCATTGTAGCCTTAACCATTTTGTTGAGGCTAAAGATAAATTACCCTAACCATGGTGCTCCTGATCTGCTCTAGGTTCTATATGGGGCTGATTTGGAAACTGGAGTTTTCGGTAGTGGTTTTCCCAAGATGTCCAGTAAGGATGGTTTTGCTTCAGAAGAGCAGTACAGAAAATCAGGCTGGAATTTGAACAACTTTCCTAGACTTCCTGGATCTGTTCTTTCTTATGAAAGCAGTGATATATCTGGTGTTCTGGTGCCATGGTTATACGTAGGGATGTGCTTTTCTTCTTTCTGCTGGGTAAGACAATCTTTTTTCCTTGCAATAGATTAATCATCTAAGCATAATTGCATACTTTCACTATCACTCTTAAAATAGTCAAACCCATGCTTGCTTAGTGCATGTGATAGCACGAGTCTGCCATGTATTATGTGGGATGTGAAAAACCACATATTGAGCATGTATGTCGGGTGTGAAGATT